GTGTGCGTGCGTGCGTGTGTGTGTGTGTGTGTGTGTGTGTGTGTGTGTGTGTGTGTGTGTTGTGTGTGTGTGTGTTGTGGTGTGTGTGTGTTCAAAAAACCTTCCTCTCTTCGTTCACTCGTGGTTCCTCTGTAACTTCTCGGACCCCTTCCCCTCGCGCGTTCCGCCTGCCCCCCTCGGCCGCCCGTTCCGGCGACCGATCCGCGCTCCTCGCCCACGCGGGGACGCCGCCCGGACGGACCGAGAAGGACGCGGGGTTAGCACCTTGTAATTACTTGGCACCTGCATCGGGCTGGACGGGCGCGATTAATCGCTCTCTCTCTCTCACTCTCTCTCTCTCTCTCTCTCTCTCTCTCTCTCTCTCTCTCTCTCTTCTCTCTCTCTCTCTTCTCTCTCTCTCTCTCTCTCTCTCTCTCTCTCTCCAATCTGCATCTGTCTTATCTTCCGATGAAAATCTAGGCGTCCACAATGCCCCAAGCAACCCAGTGAGAAGAGAGAGAACAGTTGATTCAAGGAAGTGATGATAATAAGAAAATAAGAATAAAAGAAGTAATCTGGAAATAAAAAGAAACGTAAAGAAAGAAAGAGAAGAAGGTTGACCCTCCTAGCTTGGCCCTAATCTAGAGGTTCCAGAAGGCTTCTAGATGTCTCTTCCAGGACCCCTTCTAGGTGTGGTCAGTCTAGTTTTTGCCGGGCGCCTATGGCTACGGGTGGGAAGGAGGCGAGTGGGGAGGGGGGAGGATATGGTGGGGAAGGAGGACGGACGGGGGGGGGGGTCGGTGAGGGTGAGGGTAGACGGTAGAGAGAGGAGAGAGGGAGAAAAGTGTATGGGGAGGGTCGGGGGAGAAGGGAAGGGGTGGGTGGGGTAGGTCCCCCATCCGCGGGGAATGTTTTACGCTTTCGTTCTTTTTTATGTGGCTTGGGTCGGCGTTCGTCCAAGGTGATGTAGGTAGAGGGCGATCCTCCTTGTTTTTTTTTTTTTTTTTTTATTTCTCCAAGTGGGGGGGGTAGTACATGTGTGTAGGATTTCCGTAGTACATTATGAGGTTAACTAAGCCTGACCGTTATACCGATGTCGTGTGGATTTCTAGAAGGAGGAATAGGTGCACTGATTTTTTTCCTGTGATGGGGTCGGGGGTAGCTCTCTCTGCTTAATGGAATTCGCGCTATTATTTTGGATGGACGGAACTTTTAAAAACCGCAGTGACGTAGCCGAGATTGCAACAAATGGCGGGGTTTTGCGACGACTTCTAATGATAGGTCATTGGGTGTTCGGTTTGTCACTTTTCCTTTGCTGTATCGGTGGCATCACAATTCATTGAGTAAATAACTTGTTTTTGTTCGGATCGTCATATGTAGAAAGATAGAATATGCGATACATAATTGCAATGAGTAAGAGAGAGAGAGAGAGAGAGAGAGAGAGAGAGAGAGAGAGAGAGAGAGAGAGAGAAAGAGAAAGAGAAAGAGAGAGAGAGAGAGAGAGAGAGAGAGAGAGAGAGAGAGAGAGAGAGAAGAGAGAGAGAGAGAGAGAGAGAGAGAGAGAGAGAGAGAGAGAGAGAGATTTTCAGGTTAGTATATCTTTTTAATACAATTTTTTGCTGTGTCTCCTCAATATTTTGCATAATTGCGTACGCTGATTAATATTCAAATATTATTCACATTTTCTGTTTTGAGGTTCGCTGTTAGGAGTACATTTCAGTCTGAAATCAAGGCTCGACGGGTAGATTATTTTCAAACGTGTGTTATACAGTGTGTCAAGTTCATGAGAAAATACTAAGTAGCAAGACGAAAAGCTACTTCTTTCTTCTATTCTATTTGTTGTACATGATATCATTTTATATATTAATTGAAATCGTCTTTTACATTACGAAGTCGAAGCAAGTCGGTGCCACGTGGCTGGAGTGAGACGTCTCGTAACAGCTGTTTTGGTGGAATGTTGTTGTCTAGCTAAGTCTCTACGCTACGGGACTCCAGCCCTCTCGACATGGCCCCGCCCCGCCCTCTCCTCTCTCCCTAATAGCTACCCCCTACCCCCTTCCCACTCCTGGCCCCTCTCCTCCCTCCTGCCTCTCCCTCCGACAGATATCTTGCGTAAAGTCGATACCCCCCCCCCCCCACCTCCTTACAGGGACCTCTCCCCCTACCTGCCTGATACTGGTTTGTTTATATTCGTTTGTTTGTTGGCTTGTTTGTTCTTACGTTTGTTTTTTTTGGGTGTTGTTGTTGTTGGTATCTGCACGTACAAATTAATTAATACTTTTAATTTCCCTTCAAACAACAGGGAAAAGTAAAGATTTTTTTCGTCTTCTTTTTTTATGAAGCAAGTTTATACAACAACCCGTCTTCCACTGCCACCCCCCCCTCCATACGTATCTACAGTATACTGGCTTCACCCGGAAAAAAGTGGCTCTTCCGCGGGCTAATTTACCTGATTATATCTGAATACGGGATTGCATCTCGCAGGCTATAAGCTGCCCAAGATTCTCATGTGTATAGGTCTCCCTCTGCGGCTGTTTCCCTTCTTTATTAAGTTTTATTTCCGTTAGAGAGAGGGAGAGGAAGAGGGAGGGGGAGAGGGAGAGGAAGAGGAAGAGGAAGAGGAAGAGGAAGAGGAAGAGGAAGAGGAAGAGGAAGAGGAAAGGGAAAGGGAAGGGAAGGGGAGAGGGAGAGGGAGAGGGAGAGAGGGAGAGGAAGAGGAAGAGGAAGAGAAGAGGAGAGAAGAGGAGAGGGAGAGGGAGGAGAGGAAGAGGAAGAGGAAGAGAAGAGAGAGAGAGAGAGGAGAGAGAGAGAGAGAGAGAGAGAGAGAGAGAGAGAGAGAGAGAGAGAGAGAGAGAGAGAGAGAGAGTTGCTGAGCGTTCGCTCAAAATGAGAATTCGGATAAAGGGTTTTGTTGCCAGCCATATTTTGTGATCCGGCTGAGCGAGGCTGGACTAAACGACGCCCATCAATGAATAAGTAGATGAATACACAAAAAAACAGAGGTCGATAATAAATGATAAGTTAAAGGCACGGATGGATCAACATGCACGCAAGATTCGATTGATTAACATGTTTAGATAAGGTGAACATCAACGATAGTAACAATAGTGATAACAGCAATAACAAAGTCCTGGTAATTAAAATAATAATGATACTAAATATAACTGCTACTACTGCTATTATCACTACGAACTCCACATCAGTGTCTGCCGACTATGGCCAGTACCAGTACCGCTCGCGAGAAACCCGCTGTTCTGGGAGACAGTTCACTGGCCTCCCCAAGTGGACGTATGAATGAAGGAGGTACCGGGTGACGCCCTGGTACGTAGGGTGCAATACCAACACCGGGGAGGGAACCAGTCCTTGCCCCTTTCCCTCACTCGTCTTCAGTGTAACCAGTTCGTAACCAGTTTGTAAGACTAAGACCGGGAGGGAAGGGGGCGTGAAGCGTGTGTATGGGGGGGGGGGTATAAAGGAAAAGGGTGTGTGTGGGTGGGGGGGTGGAGGGGGGTAGAAGAGGATGGTATCAGGTACCGAAGAGGGGCTTGAGGATGTGGCGAGAGAGGGAAGGATAGAGAGAGAAAGACGTGGATGGAAGGAAGGGGACAGGTCGAAGAAAGAGGGATGGAGGGAGAAGAGGTAGTAGGAGAATGGAGGGAGAAGGAGAGGCTGAAAATGAAGATGAGAGAAAGAGAGGGCGAAACAGATGCCGAGGGTGGAGAAGAGCGCGAAGGAGAAGGAGAGCGGGAAAGATAGAGACCAGTAGAAAGGGAGAATAATACCGCTAAACAAAAGGGCGCGGCTTCGGAAGAGGGAGGGGGGGGGGGCTGGTATCTAGATCTCTCCTCCCTTTGCCTCCTGCTTCTTGCATGCTTAACAATATGCAAAATTTCTCTGATTTTGATTTTCTCCTTCTTCCTTTGGCTGCAAGATTATTCCCTTCTCTTCACTTGCTTCGTTATTCGCTCGTCTCGTCATGCTCTCGTGCTCTTTAGCGCCGTGTTTCCCATTCCTCATTCCAAGTATTTGCTCAGTCGAACCGTTCTCTCGGGCCAGCGACCAATCTATCTGCCTTCCCTCCTTTCATTATCGCACTTTATCTATCTATCTATATATATATTTTTATTTCTTTCTTTATTCTTTTTTATTTGTTACCGTAATCTACATTTTTTTGTCCGTGGAGGTAGTCCACCTAATTTCAAAACGGGTGCAATTACCGCCTCACATGTCATATCCTGATAGATAATATCCTTTGTTTTTGTTCCTATTCTCTTTTATTTTTTGATCCTCCTTGTAGATCATATCCGTTTGGTCCTGTTATTTTCTCGGCTTCTTTTTTATCCCTTTATGATAATCTGCTTTTGTTTCTTTATTAATTTCTCGTTATAGGAAGGTTTTGTTTGCTTGCTACGAGGGAAGATAGGTGCATGTTGAAGCTGTGAATAAAATTCATTAGGATGTTTTTCTTTATAAGATTTGAAATGTAGAAGAAACGCAATAAAGGGGAAGAAAACGGGATAGAGAGGGACGCGAAGAAACGACATTTAAGCGGTCTGTGTCTTTTTTTTTTTCTTTCGTTTTTTTATCAAAATCTTTGTCTCTCTTTGACCTTTCGAAGGGCCGGTTTTATCGCACTTTTTTTTTCTTTTTCTTTTCTTAATAATTACCCGCCGATCTTTTTCTTCGAACTTTGTGGAATGTGAAGGAAAATTCGTGGCTTTGTCTTTTATATATAAATAACTGCAAGGAAAATTATCAAGAAATGTGAGTGAAAAATGGATAATTTCTTTTTTCGTAAGGCAAAGAGAGAGAGAGAGAGAGAGAGAGAGAGAGAGAGAGAGAGAGAGAGAGAGAGAGAGAGAGAGAGAGAGAGAGAGAGAGAGAGAGAGAGAGAGAGAGAGAGAGAGAGAGAGAGAGAGAGAGAGAGAGAGAGAGAGAGAGAGAGGAGAGAGAGAGAGAAGATTCATTTATTGTCCCAATCCCACCTGTGAACCACTTCTAATCCCCCTTTCCCCCCGCAGGTGTTGGTGCAGGGGTGAGTCGTCCAAACCAGGTCGGGGCCGCCCACAAGGCAGTTGCCGCCCGCCCTCACGCCCACTTTTGTCCCCGCTCAACATGTGACGCCCCAGCTTCTCCATGCTGCTCGTCCCGCCCATCTCGCGCGCCCACTCCGCTGAGCCCCTGGTGCCGCCCCCAGCAGAGAGCAACCGGTCTCCCGCCCGCACCGCCCAAGCTCAGTCTCTGGCGCCCATCAAGGCAGAGCCGCCTCATCTGCTCAACTACACATCGTCGCCAGCGCTCGCTGACAGCTACGTACGCCCACACATGTCCGGCCTGAGCGACGCCCAGTACCCGCCCGCGTCAACCGCCACCCACTCGGCGCCCAGCACGCCCGCGCCGCCCTCTACGCCCACCCCGCGCCCCCCGTGTCCGCCTCCTCCGATCGGTCGGCGTCCGGCGGGTCGGCCAGCGGCGGCTCGCTTCCCTTGAGCCACCCCCGACGGTGGGCGGCCCGCCCCCAGCCGGAGGCCTCCCCATCGTCCCCCCCACCACCAACCCGTCGTCGGGCGTGGGCGTGAGCGTGACCTCGGGCACTGTGACCCCCGCCATGCCCGTGCCAGGCCCGTCGCAGGCCCCCCAGAGCTCCCAGCAGCAGCCGCCGCTCCACCACCCGCTCCTGGGCTACATCCCGCACGGCACCAAGATCCTCTCGCGCAACCTCAACGGCACGCGTGAGTACAACAGTATGTTTTCCCAAAATGTTGATTTAGTTGAGTTTAAGTTGGGCGCCGCCCCTCGGCCGCCGCCTCTCGGCCGCCGGGGCAGTCCTGGCCGTCGGTGCGATGGCTCTTTGCTGGCTCTTCGCTGGCCTTCGGCAGACTCGTGTAGCCTTTCTGATTCGTGTGTAGTTGCCTGCGAGGACATGTCTTTCCTCATTTCTCCCTCTTTTTTAGACGAGATCCTCTGTTTATTCCCGTAAATATCTTGCCAACGCGTCATTTAGTATGTATGTATATGGTCGCGGGGCTGTTCCGCTGGTGCTTCATGTTATTAGGTCTGTTTGTTATTGGGTCCCTGTCACGACCCCGTCCACCATTGTCACGCGCCGTCCGCTTTCGACCCGGGGGGAGGGGGGGGTATGGGTGCAGGAAGGTCTGAAGGAGACATACGCACATAGACGCCAAAAAGAAAGACAGGCAGAAGGGAAAAAATATGTACATACTAGAAAATATGAGTACTGAGCACGCGCGCCCATACATATGCCATCTTATGAATGCCCCGACGCGTAATGACCACAAGCGAAGAGAATCTCGAGAATCCACACGAGCGACAACACTACGATGCGCGCTCATTACAAACGGCGTGCACGACGCCCGCCTTCGCTCAGCTGAATGCGCGCCCGTAGCTTTTGCGCTGCTGGGGTCGCCCCGCCCCCTCCCGGCGCCTCTCGCGACCTTCTTCCGATTTCCGCCGAAGCGTCCTGCGTTTGAGGATGTTTTGTCGCATGTTCCAGGGGGAGGAAGGGGGACCGTCGAGGGCGCGTGCACGCAAACCCAGCCTCCGCTTCCATTTATCAAATTTACACGCACTTCGAAAATGGCAAAACAAATCTATATTCAAGCGCGGGTGCAGCATTGTCGCGAATCCTATTCTTGTTTTACTCCGGTCACGGTTCTGCGGTAAACCTTTTACAGAAAGTCCCCCGCCGCTGCCGATCCTTCTTCAGCTGTGGCAGGAGTGTCTTGCGCAACCAGCTCTTCCCTTGTTACGTACAGAGGCAATGCCCAATATGCACCATCATTAATGCTCGAGTTGGCCGTTTTTGCTTGAGCCCCTCCCTTGACCCCACCCGTCCCCACACCTCCTGACCCCCCCCCTGCACAGTGCTTCTGCAAGGACGTCTGTGCTTTCAACAGGCGCGTCGTTGCCCCGCCGCCCCCCCTTCCCGGGAGCAGTTTCTCGTGGGCGTCCGCCGCCGCGCCCCCGCCGTGCCGTCGCGGAGTGCTTGTAGGGTCATATCGCGCAGGCAGCCTCCTCGCCCCCCCCCCCCCTTCCTCTGCCTTCTCTCCAGCGCTCTTTGCCTTCACCAGATTTTTACTTCGTCATTCACTTAATCTTACATAATGACCAAGATCGTAATAGGGGCGGTCTGCCACACCTAGATTACAGTAATATGATTGTTGAAGTCGCTAAGTGATTGCACGCGGGCGTTTTTCGCAAGCCGTTTTTTCCTTGCATGACGCGGCGCCTTCTCCGCTTTTTGCGTCGGACGTGACTCCGCTGGACATTCATTACGGCTTTTTGCAGGACCGCTCGGTGGGCCGCCCTTGCGCTTATGTCTTTAGCGTCCGTCACTCGCTCCTTTATACGTCATCTCGGGCGGGAAAGCCCTCTTTTTGTCGGCTCGTCTCGCTCGCTCCTGCCTCACGCATTCGCTTCCCCGAAACGAGAATGCAATCTCTCTCTCTCTCTCTCTCTCTCTCTCTCTCTCTCTCTCTCTCTCTCTCTCTCTCTCTCTCTCTCTCTCTCTCTCTCTCTCTCTCTCTCTCTCTCTCTCCCCCCCCCCCCCCCCTCCCCCTCATGCACGCACGCCCGTGAATCTGAGCGCCCGCGGACATGGACCCTTGTGTTAACCTCTGCCTCACAGCCCTTCTCGTGTTCGCTCGTTATCTTCGGACTCGTAGATCACGATTCCCGTGTCCAGGGGGCAAAGCAGCCGAGTCGCCCGCACTCCTAATGAGCTCGTTGGACGGGCGGATTACATCGTTGGGTTTATTTGTAATTTCGTTATGATCTTTTCGGTTTATATGATCCTGTCTCAGGTCACTGATTTCTCATTGTTTTTTTCGTGTCTTTCCTCCCCAGCCTTTTCTTAATTTCTTTCCTCGTTCTATCATTTGTCATTCTCCTCTGACTTTTTCTTATTCTCTGACTTTTTCTCATTCTCTTTATAGGCACCTCTCTCTTTCTCTTTTCGTCCTATTCTGTTTTGTCCTTTCCCTCCTTCTTGCCAGTTTCCCCCTCGCCGTTTCCTTCCTTCTTCACTGTCTATCTCCTCCGGGTATTTCTCCACTTCTCTTACCTTTCTTTCCTTCCTCTGTCTCTTTATCCTCTCCCTTCATTTCTCTCTCTCTCTCTCTCTCTCCTCTGTCTCACTCTCTACTGCTCCCTCTCTTTTTCTACCCCTTCCCCCCTTTCCCAAAAGACTTTATCTCCCGTAGCACAACTCTTCCGCGCCTCCCCTCCCCCCCCTCCTCTCAATAAAGATCTTCTCTAAATACCTCGAGAGTATTTAATTTCCGAATGTTTCAGTCTATCGCGTGCGCTGCAGGTCCCGATAGAGGTGTAAAACTCTGCGGGATTTTTCTCTTCGTTTCGATAATTGTTTCCTGTATAATAGATAATTCTTGACTTCTACCGCGGTCTGTTGTTATTGTCTTTTTTTTCTTATCTTTATTTTGTCTTAATCGTTTGGAAGTGATAATGTCGGCCTGTCATTTATGTTTTTTGATTATGCTTTATTATCTAATCGCGTGAAAAATACGAAATGTTATGCAATTTCAATTGTTTATATTCATTGTTTTTTTTGCGTATGTATGTTTTTTCAATTGGTGAATGTGCAGAATCTCATGCACATTTCCTAATTAACACACACACTCTTTCTCCTCTCTGCATCACACACCACCACACACACACACACACACACACACACACACACACACACACACACACACACACACACACACACACACACACACACACACACACACGCACACAAACCTTCCACCCACATAATGAGCATACACTCACCGGGTCTGTCCGCCCATACGCACCGCCACGCATCTACCTGCCGGAAGGAACATCCAGGCGACGCGACGGCCAACAGGCATCTGAGACGAGGCGGGAAAAAGTGCAGATGCAACAGCAAGTGAAACAGCAATTGATACGATTATGGTCGAGGCTGCCTTGTTTTCCGGCCTCATCTGCGGCCGCCGGTTTACGGGCGACAATACGGACGGGTCTCGTTATCGGCGCTTCTATAGATTAGGCCTTAGAGGGAGGGAAGAGGGAGAGGGAGGAAGGAGGGGAGGAGGAAGGAGGGAGAGAGGAGGAGGGAGAGAAAGGATGGAAGGAGGAAGAAGGGAGGAAGGGAGGAGGGATGGAGGAGAGAGGAAGAGAAAGAAAGAAGGGAGGAAGAGATGGAGGAGTGAGGGAATGGAGTGAGGGAATGGATGGAGTGAGGGAGAGAGGGATGGTGAGAGCGAGAGAGTGAGAGAGAGAGAGTGAGTGAGAGAGAGAGAGAGAGAGAGAGAGAGAGAGAGAGAGAGAGAGAAGAGAGAGAAGAGAGAGAGAAGAGAGGAGAAAGAGGGACAAAAAATAATAAAAAAAAAAGTAATGGAGAGAGAAAGAGAAAGAGAGAAAGTGAGAAAGAGAGAAGAGAGAGAGAGAGGAGGAGAGAGAGAGAGAGAGAGAGAGAGGAGAGAGAGAGAGAGAGAGAGAGAGAGAGAGAGAGAGAGAGAGAAGGAAACGAGAGAAAGAAAAAAAAGAAAAGATAAGTGCAAACTCTCAGAACAGATCAAACATATGGCAGCATGCGACGGCGCTGCCATCTATTAGAATATTAAAGGGCAATGACTTTTTCCTCCCAATGTTATATGACAAGAGGGGAAAAAATCAACCTTCCCTTTTTTCCCCCCGACAAATCTCAAACGCAATTCTTGTTTAGGAGTCGAAAGCAGGAATCGGAAGGACGCGCCGTTAAGAAACCAGGAAAAGGAACGCGAGAGAAAGGAAAAGCAACCTCGGCGCTCAAATATTCCCAAATATTCATACGACGCGAGGGCCGATTCGCGGCGGCGACGCGTCCCAAAAGCAGAAGTAATAATATTCGCAAACTCTCCCGATTATCGCCAGTTTTATCGGCCGATTTTGTCTCCATCGGCGCTCGGAATGCGTCGATAGAGACATTAATTAACGCGATTTTTGCCCGCGCTTCCTTGACATGTTATACTTCAAGCATACTTTCTGCTCCATGTCTAACACTGCATATTAATTAGACATTCAACATCAGGGAGCGCGAGAGAGACGGGGTGGGGAAGAAGGAGGGGGTGAGGGGGAGAGGGAGGGGGGTGAGGGAGGGGGGAGGAGGGAATGAGGGTAGGTGGTGTGAGAGGGGGTAGGGGTAGGAGTATGAATAAGGAAAGAAGAGAGGAGGGAGGGAGGAGGAGGGAGATAGAGGGAGAAAGACAAAAGTCGGTAGATTGAGAGAGGGAGAGAGAGAGAGAGAGTCAAACAGACAGACAGACAAAAACAGGTAGATGGATAGAGTCAGAGAGTGATAGAGAAAAATAAGTTGATAAATAGAGTTAGGAAGGAGAAAAAAGAGAAGTAGGTGGAGATAAACAGAAGTAGGGAATGAAATAGAGAAATAAATAGATAACTGTATAGAGACAGAGGAAGAAGGAGAGAAAGAAAAATATCCAGATAAATGAATGGGGAGAAATAGGAAAACAAATAGACAGAGATAGAGACCAATTAAGAGAGAGAGAGAGAGAGAGGGAGAGGGATAGAGAGGGAGAGGGAGAGGGGAGAGGAGAGGATAGGGATAGGGAGAGGGAGAGAGAGAGAGGGATAGGGAGAGGGAGAGAGAGAGGGATAGGGAGAGGGAGAGAGAGAGGGAGAGGGGAGAGAGGGAGAGGGAGAGGGAGAGGGAGAGGGAGAGGGAGAGGGA